CTTTCTATGTGCAACTGTTTCAAAGCATGCCTTTTAGAACTGGATCATATAAAACAACAACAGCAGAAATATTTAGACCATGACATTTTGCCTTATTCTGCCTCTGTGCATCACTACAAAAACATTTCAGAACAGACAGTTGGGATGTAACTGACCTGCACGCTTTCAGTTCAAATTCAACAAAAATCCTGATTTAACTGTTTGGGAATCACAGCCAGATTCCATTTGGTGCAGAAACATCCTACAGAACCTTCCACGGAATAATTTACATCATTACAGCAATGAAAGGCATCAAATTAAAACCTTGTTTAGTCTTAAAAACATGCATTTCAGTATACACAATACACACAATAATTCATTGAAAACCACTCGCTTCCTCTTAGGGATCCTAGGACGGAGCAAAATATATAAACACAATGCTTATCATAGCCTATGAAGTTTAACCTGTTGTACTCAAGGAGTTATTTATCATCTATGGGATGAGTTGTGTTTGCAACTTAAAGCATGTATTAACTTTGTCATTACACTAACTTACACTAACTTTGTCATTGGTAGATGTATATTTTTTAGCTAAGAGGACAAAAAAATCTATTTATTCATGAAGGACATAGCAGTACACAGAAAATCCTGGTTTTCCCCCAGGATATAAATGCAGCACGAGTTTGTGGATGTGTGGTTTGAAAGTCTCAAACGTCGCTCATACCACAGTGAAGAAAAAACCACCAGCACAGTGCAATTTAAGCATTTAACATAAGATAGCCTTTTATTTCACTATTTACAAAGACTTTATAATGTAGAACTCAGTTCGTCGTAGGGTGAAGAGGAGACAAGCAGAGGGCCGAGGTGGCATCCGGCTGGAGGTTAAGATCCAATCCAATCCCCGCACAACAACTTCTTTAAACAAGTCAATAAGTCCTCTTCACCTGTCTCAAGAGCCAACACACACACACACACACACACACACACACACACACACACACACACACACACACACACACACACATGCACGCACGCACCAAATGTGCACCAGGAATTAACTGTAATTAACCACATTTTTAAAAAAGCTAGGCCAATAGCCACACCCACGTCTGGTTACTGTCATATCTGCTGAATCAGGACTTTATTTAGAGTCTGTCTGACAAAGTGAAGCAGGCTAAAGTAGAACATCATGACACAATCTAAAGAAACAGGTGAAAAACAAAGTTATTGACAGCTATCAGTCTCAAAACGGTTACAAAACCTTTCTCAAATTGTGGGACTGTTTAAACCACAGTGAGCGCTTTTATCCACAAACAAAGAAAACCTGGAACAGTGGTGAAGCTTCCCAGGAATGACCGAACTACCAAATGAGTCATCCAGGAGGTCACAAAAGATCCCAGAACCACATCTAAAAAATTGCAGGCCTCACTTGCCTCGGTTTAGGTCAAAGTTCATGATTCAACAATAAGAACGAGACTCGACAAAAATGCTGTCTATAGGAGAGCTCAGGGACAAAACCACAGCTGAGCCAGAAAAACACAAAGGCTCGTCTCACATTTGACAAAAAACATCTTAATGAAGCGCTTGGATTTTGGATAAAGTTCTGTGGACTGATGAGACATGGAATGATTGCTCTTGTCAGATTACCTAGCCCGAATACTACAGAAACTGCTGATCTACTGATTTTCCACAGAAAAATCTCAAAGGTTTACAGAGAATAGTCGGAAAAAGATCAAATATCCAGTGAACATCAGTTCTTTAATGAGAATGCCTGGTTGATGTGCTACTTTGAGCTGACAGGAAGGCAACAGGAACTCAAATAACCATTTTTTTGGGTTTGGTTTTATAACAAATGTATGCAGAAGAGCATCTCTGAACCACTAACATGTCAAAACTTTGAAGCAGATTGACTACAGCAGCAGAAGACCGCAGTGAGCGCTGCTCCTGTCAGCTATGAGAAAACCATTACTTACAATGACGTCAGTCAGGAATTCCTACAAAATCTTCCTCTCCTTTCCTGGATTTGCTGCCTCTACACAATCTCCACAAAACTTTCTCGACCTACATCTAATCAAGCTGCAAATCCTTTATTTATTTAGTAAGATTTCAGCGCTCCTCTCTTCCACACTCTCCTGCTGGATTTCTTAGCCTGGAAACGTCTGAGCTGAACATTTTCCCTCCTCTGCCCAGCAGCCCCCCCCCCTTCTCACCTAACAAAAACACCAGAGTCCCCTCACAAACTTTCCCCCAAGTGCTGTGAGGTTCTTTAACCTCAGTGGCAGATGCACTAACAGAAAATTGTTGTGAATACTCCCTTAAATATTAACTGCAGCAATGCCTGCACATGTTCGGTGCACTACAGACATGATTCATGTCGTATGCCATGTAACAGACCTGTAGGAGAAAAATAAGATAATGATTTATAAGCCTATAAATCATGCTAACATTAATTAAAGAGTTTTACTGTAACGTTTTGTAAGTATATTCAGTCAGAATGGGGTAAATCAAAAGTCAGCCTTGCCTAAAGTTTTGGATCACTTTTTAGTTTTGAGATGACTCACAGTTTCTTATATTTTTTATTGGTTCATTTCACTGAAAATAGCACCGCAATAGTGGCTTTGCAGCTGCTAAATTTAACTTTAAGTTTTGATGTTTAAAACCGAGTGAGGAGAAACGCTTTGATCTGAAACACTACAACAGCGCCCCCCATGTGCTTGCAATTATTATAATACAAAGGATGGAAGGCAGACGATGCCAAGGAGTGGGGTTACTAAAACTAGCTGTGAACCCTCCCCCCAGACACAGACACAAAAAACCCCAAACTTAAAAACATTAAAAACATCTCTGGCTGCATCAGCGCCAGAGATGCTGGCAGGATCAGCACAGGGCTGGATCATCACTGGCCAGAATCTATCCTCCCATAGACTCTTCTGTGGGACTCTTCTGCCATATTATTGCTCTATATAAACAGTTTAGACATTAAATAAGAATTAATTTAACAGCAGAAATAAAACAATGCACAGTTTGATACACAAGTATAGTTTCAAACGAGTGACTCAGCCTGCACCAGACACAGACACGAGACAAGAAGGACAAGTTAGACCAGGTGAATCATTACTCAACTTTACACTGATTCAACCTGTCCTAATTTTTTGGGTGTATCTGTCCTTACTTGGTTTATATTAGAACTTGTCAACGTGCTTCAGTTAACACATTACTCAGATATGGGAGTTGCACGCTCCCTGAAACTACAGGATTGTACCACACCTAAAGAAATGTAACAGAAACACGTGCCCTGTTGATCTACAATCACAATGTTCCCTTTGTGTAATTGTGTCCTTTTAGAACTGGGTCATTTCATTCCCAAGTCAACGCGTCACACAAGAACCAGTCATCAGGAAACCGATCAATCATCCAGGGTACCACAGCTCATTGCTGTTTCTCTGCAGAATGGATATTTTGCTTTTAAACATCGATATGTCCCATAATGCTGTTCTCACAGTTGGCTGCAGAAAAAAATATTGTGCTGGGAAAAAACAAGGTTGCAGGTTTAGATTGTGAAAAACTGCTTTACTTAGAATTTAAATATGTTTTCCAACCCTGAAAATTTAACGTGTCTTGCTCCTGTTCATATAAAATTCTGACGCTCAAACAGGCAAGAAAATACTTTGATTTAAAAAAACAAAAAACAAAGCTTTGGCTTGCCCCTTTTCACTTTGAGGCTTGTAACGCTGAACATATTCACAGTACAAAGAAAAAACTTCCCATGACTTCATTTAAAGCACTAAAACTGTTATAGAAAATATTCTAATGTGAGCAAGTGGAAGTCACTGATTTATTTACCCAGATGTTCCCTTAATGAGTATGAATATGAGTATTAAACCAAGCACTCACAAGAGAAAGCGTGTGTCCTACATGTGTGCTATTTTAATATTTTAGCATATTAAGAGTCTCAATATTTTTTCCTCAAGGTCAATTTTAAAATACGCAAACGTGTCTGTTGGTTTAATGAGAATTTTATTGCTTTGATGAATTTGTACATCAGTTCTGAATTGTTGAAGCGTGATCTGCATTTCATTGCTTTGGTCTTGACATAATACAGAACAAAGTTTAGCTTCCAACACATTTGTGTCCATAAATGCTTACACAATGAGACAATTCCTGTAAGTCTGCCTCTGAATTTAAATCAGACAATCAAGATGTACCAGAGTTGATGTCTGTCAGCTCACATTCAGGGGTTCTAACAGAAGTACTGCATTAACAGCTTTAGTCATGTTTTTAAAGTCAAATTCCCTTTCGTGCACACATTTCTTATGGAGCCTCAGCAAAGGATAGATTAAGAAATAAAGTTTCTAATTAAATCTATCTTTAAAATATACATTTCAGCATACATGACGATATTCACCTTTACTGTGAACGTGTGGCAATCGCGGTGCTGTCGAAGTAAACTCTTTGCACACCGTCCTGAGCACCTAAAGGGTTATGAGTTACAGTTAAATTAAGGCAATGCCCAGTAAATGCACGCACGCAACATTGTGGTGTGGCTGGGGAGAGGAAGGTCTGGGCTTCTCTGCTTAGGCTGCTGCCTCCGCGACCCGGCCCCGGATAAAGCGGATGAAGATGGATGGATGGATGTTTTAATCCAAACTTTATTACCACATTTCATCATTACAGTCTTTGCCATAACTTTAGAGACATTATTATAGTCATTTATTGCTTTATATAATGCAGAGGAACAACCTCACGTGTTTTGTAGAAATACAATTGCTATGATTGCTATGAGCATTACTATTATTAAATAATTTCCCCCAGGGATCAATAAAGTATTCTGATTCTGATTCTGATTCTGATACTACAAACTAGACAGGAAAGATTTTAAAGACAAATCATTTATTCATGACTGTAACTTATGAAAAAGAAAACGTAATGTTTTATGCGATTACTGAATTTTTCTAAGAATGGTTTAAAGGAGTGTAAAACAAATTCAAATGAAAACTATTTCTAACAAAAAAAATCATGCATCACAGTTTATACAGTGTCATCGATTTTCCTATGGACTTGTTGGATCCTTGGAAGCTGGAGAAATAAACTCTCTGCACGCCATCGTCAGCACCTGAAAGAACATGAGGAAAAGTTCAACTAAAGCAATGCACAATAAAAGCACACAAGCCTTAACGTGGTGTAAGTAAAACCTGATTGGCAGATGAAGTTGAGGCTCTCCTCACAGGGCTGGTCTTGCCACAGGAGGTGCTCTGTGCTAGTCATGCCCCCACAGGTGCTGGAGTAACAGTCTGGAACAAAATCCTGTGGCCAATTCAAGAAATTCATGGACTGTCCAGACATCCAGAACCACTCGTCTCCTCTGAGGGATCTGTTGGACAGAACAGATGAACAGATCTGAACAGATTTACATTTATCGAGATGTTGCTCTTTATGGAGCATATGGGCGTTTAAAAGCTGCTTGTTGAATTTCACATAAGCTGGATGATCCATATTTATCTTCTTGATGTTGTGTAGGCCTAAAAGAACAATGACAATCATTAAAAAAACAGAAAAAAACCTTGGTACAGCAGGTTTGTTGTGTTTACAGTGAAAGCTGTTTGCAAAGTGGCCTATTATTGCAGCAATGGCAGAAATGCAAATGAGAAAATGGAAGGACGCGCAATGCAAAGATCTGCATCTGCATAATTTGATTTGCAAAGTTTGCAAATTGTCACAGACATCATGCATCATAAGAGTACAGGGTAGTGCATCTGGCCTCTTAGTATTGTGCAGGAACCTTGAACATCACAAACGTTATTCATTAATTATGAAAAAAAAAAACACAACAAAATTGGTAGTTTTTGTGCAATTATACAGCACTTTTCCATTTGTTTGTTATTTTGTTTGTTTTAGAAGACATTTGCATCTTATCGCATCCAAACATACTTATGTTGTAGACCATCAGGACCAATTTGGGGGAACTGAATAGTTTGCGGACTACTGCAATAACTACTGTATCAGTACCTGCGCAGTCCCATCCAGACGTGGTCTGTGAGGGAGAAAGGAACGAGGCCCAGCAGCTGCTCCAACTCGCTTTGCTCCTGTTGGCTGTGAAGGCTGAGCAGGTCCCAGTAATAACGTCTACAGTGCATCAGAGCATCAGACCAGCAGAGCCTCTCTCCCACCACCGTCACGTTCCTGCCACCAAGCTGCAGGCTCACAGGTGGAGGAGGGGTGGGAGGAGGTGGAGGAGTTGTTAAAGGAGTGACAGCTTCTGGAACTACAGGGAAGTACTTTGCTTTAGGATTCTGTTTGTTTAAGCCAGTTTGGTTGTTATTGTTTTCCTTTCATTTTAACATGTTCCATTCAAATATTCTGTAGTTTAATGGTAAATACAAGAAAAACAAATCAAAACAGTATAAATCTTACAATAATACTTTAAGCACACAAAACCACAACAATTTCTAAAAAATAGCACAACAAGACCCTACCAGCGAGAGAAGCAAACACCTCCACTTCACACAGGGTTGTGTAAGTCCTTTTTCCTGGTATGATCACAATGATGTAGCGACCTTCCATTTCATTACACTGGAATGTGTATGTTGGTGTACCATCTAATGATGTGATCATGCCACAACTGATGGATGTAGAGAAAATTTTAAAAAGTTTCAGTGTAACTCTTTTAAATATAATGTTCAGTTTTTTAATAAGGAAAAAATGTTTATGGAGCATATTTATCAGAAATCAGATCTCACCTGGGGTTCATGTTACCATTTTGATCCAGCGAGTTCCCGATCAGGATCTGTGCCCCAAGAATCCTTGGAATAAAAGCATCCTGTCTGTTGATGATGGTGACAGCACTGACTTTATAGACAGCCTGTAAGTCTACTCTCCACCAGGGACCCAGATCTTGATCATTGTGTGTACAGCATCCTGAGTTCAAGTTTCCATTTTTGCACCCATCGACACCCTTTGAGGGCCCAAACACTGGCCCATACCAAGTTGATGACTGTACTGTTTGTTTGTTGAAGGCCACGTTTGGAAGCGGTTCCACTAAATTGTTGAAAAGAAGAAACAAGTATGAATCAGTATCAGGCAGATGTGTTTCAGTAGATCAGATCCAGTCGCTTAAAGCTCTACCTGCTGGGGCAGCATACACCTCCACTTCACACAGGGTGAGAGTCTTCTTCTGTCCAGGAAGAAACACATTCACAAAGCGACCCTCCATGCTGCCTCCATCACACCGGTATGTGTAGGTTTTACCCGCTTTGATATGTGAGATGGAAGCACACCTGACAGCAGAAATTGTGTTATACCTCTCTGACCTGTCTTCCCCCTGTGCAATGTATGTACGGTCGGAAGGGTAAGATGGCGCTGGCAAAAGGTCGGCAGCCTTAACCCAATTTCCTTCGGGGTCAACCTTCAGTATCAACATTGACAAGCAGAGAGAGGAATGTGTTGCGAGACTTGTGTGCAGTTTACGCTGTAAAGGTGGGCGTGTTACCTGCTTGTCTATGGAGCAGTGATGAAAATGATATTAGATAAGTGTCACAGTGTGTTAATACAGGTGGCTACGGACCTTGATCAACCTTCCACCATGAGCACAGCAGCCGGAGCAAATTGATAGATAAACATAATGGGAACCACACCCAGCAACAATCAGCAGCTGTGAAATGTACAGCAGCAAGGACAGAAATGAAGGTTTTAAGAGCACATAAAATTGTGTTGAAATTTGGAGGTTGGGAAAGTGTCTGGAACATCGCAACAAACAAAAACACGCACAGAGGGTTTGCTGGATCTGCAGCTCCACTGAACACACATAGAATTAACCCGCCTACTAATGCACACATGCAATGAAAATCAGCTTACACTCATTAACACGTGAATTTCAGCAAGGTTAACTTAAAAAAAAGAAAGACTGGTATGTCCAACCAGTGATGAAACAATACATTTAGATAAGATAGTCAAATTGTGAGATGGTTTCTGCTTATTGAACAACACAAATGACCTACTGAAGGAAGGAAATTCTCTTTTGTGAGTTTAAACGCGATCTTAAGAATTTAAATATGTACATGTACATGTGAGTTAATTATATCATTAAGGGGGGGCTGACACAGGGCCTGGCAAACGTGCTCATGAGAGTTGGAACTCAGTCTTCTGAAGGTCATAAGCTTTGTTTGGCGTGACTGATATATTGTGGGAAATGACTTAGAGTGCAGAGGGGTCATTGCAAACATGCTTACACACCTAGGTTATGTTTAGAATAAGTCTGTGGGTCATAAAGTAACGAACATGTTATACTAAACCAACTTTGAAACACTAGATTCTAGTGAAAAATGAAATGAAAAAATAATGTTCTTCTAGTGACTAGAAGAACATTATTTTTCTTGCATCTAAATTTCCCAAACACAGCAGTTATCCCACATATGGTCCACCTATTATAGGGGGACAGAGGGTTGAGAGAGAGAAAAGAAGCATGACAACTAAGAGAACTGACACCTAGTGGGTAACAAGAGAGTGTGTGTGTGTGTGTAATGTTTGGAGAGATGTGCTGCACTTTCATTCCCAACAATATAGCCCCAGATGGTTCTGTAACTAGAGCCCTAGAGCATCTTGTCCACGGACACAACGACCAGGACAGAGAGCGCGGGGATCGAACCGGCGACATTCTGGTTACAGATGCGCTTCCCAACCCCAGCGCCACGGTCGCCCCGCATGTGACCTGTGTTTAAGAAGAGCTCAAAGGGGGAATTGTGAGATTATTACACTGTCTTATGTTACATTATACCTCTGATTTAAGCTTATGAAATCATTCTATAGTTTTAGGTTGCATTATACTCCTGAGTTAGAAGGTGAAATTATTATATTGATTAGACTGATTTGTATTACGTTAGACTGCTGATTTACTGTGAATGAATTACACTGTTCTATGGTACTTCATACTGCTGATTTATAAAGAAAATACTGTTTGCGGAGAATCATGGCCTTGCTTTTCTGATTGTAGGAAGAGCAAAACATACTGCACAGGAAGCCAAGGTCGTAACTTAGGCTCACTGAGAGAGAAAGAATTTGGATGCTTAGTTTGGAAGTAAGAATGTGAGAAATGGTCAGACACTTTGAGATTTTGCCGGACACCCTCCAGTGCACATCTCCTGTTCGGACGTTTGAAATGCTCAAAGTGTTGTATGGAATAAAGAGAATTGTGTTGATTAAAGTAATTGTTGATTGAGCATTTATGCATTGAGTGTTATTCTTCCTTCAGCCCAAAGATCAAAGAGTTGGGATATTTAACAGGGCAGTATTATGTTAATGTTGTGGAGTTCCAGTTCAGGAGGAAGTAACATGAAGTCCTGAACTAGTCCTGTGGTGGATAATATATAAATATTGCAATCTCTGAAATATTGCTGTTGAAATTATTTTAAGATGAAACAAACAAAGAAAAAATCACAATGAACATTGACTGGTATGAAGTCATCATTACCTGGGATTATTGTTTCCATTGTTCTCCAGTGAGTTTCCTATTCTGATCTCAGCTCCATCCAGTCTTTCAGCACAGCAGTCTCCTCTGTTGGTGACTTTTACAGCAGTGATTGTAAAGCTTCGCTGTAGGTCCACCCTCCACCAGGGGTTGGTCTCGTCTTCAGCCGTGTGGCTACAGAACCCATTGCTATAGAACGAGTTCCGTCTGCCATCGATGGCTTTGGAAGCAGTGGCAACAGAGAGTGTAGATGACTGGGTAGCTTCTCCTTTGAGTGCCACATTGGGTAATGGGTATCCTTGAAGGAAAACCAAGAGGACAATAATTTCTTTTGGTTGGCCTGTCACAATCTCTATTGACATAAATTTTAAAAAAAAGAATCATAATAATATTTTTAGAAATTAAAAACACCCTGACATGAAAGCTTTCATTGTCCTTTGACTCAGTAAATTACAGTCTTATGTATCAACATAATAATTAAAGGTGTTTACCGTAGTACACTTCAACCTCACAGAGACTCAGGACCTTTGCACTTCCTGGTAGAAACACAGTGACGTAGCGTCCCTTCACAGAGTTACATGGAAAATAAAACGCTTGTCCGCTGGGAATGTGAGAGATGACAGCACACCTGTATATAACAGATTCAAAAAGAAAAAGTATAAAAATTAAAAATAAATAAGTCCCACTGATATAATGATAACTGACTTATGGGTATATATCGCATTCTTTCACCTGTTACTTTCAGGGTCACTGATTTTTGTTGAATTTCCGATCCAGATTTCAGCACCATCCAGCCTGTTTCCCAATTCATCTCTATTAGTTATCATTACAGTCCCAATTGTATACACATTTACCAGGTCTACTCTCCACCAGGGATCAGATTGTTCACTGGTAAGTGTGCAAGACCCTCTTTGATAGCTTGCATCTCTGTTTCCATCAACTGCCTTACCACCAGTACCCACAGTGCCACTGGTTGAAGATTGGACAGCTGTTTTTTTCAGTGCCAGGTTGTAAAGAAGTTGACCTAAATATTTTAAAAAATGCATTATTAATCAAAACAGCTAGTACTGAGCAGAACCAAACCTTTGAATATATGTTGCAACTCTTCACTGATTGCTCACCTTGAATGTTTAGAGTCAAACATAATATACAGTGCTCTGAAAGGCATTTGTCCCCTTCTTGATTTCTTTTTTTCTGTATACTTAACACAGTTACATGTTTCATGTCATCAAACAAATTTGAATAATAGACAAAATAACGAGTAAATACAAAAAAAAAAGTTTATTTAGGTAAGAGTTCATTTATAAGAGAAAAAAACTATCCAATCTGCCAAATGGAGACAACTTGGAAAAGTCGGGAACCTTCCCGGGATTTTCAAACAAAATCACTGCAAGAGTGCATTGATGACTCAACCAGAGGTCACACAAGAACCCAGAACAGCATCCAAAGAACTACAAGATTCACTTGCTTCAGTTAATGTCAGAGTTCATGATACAAAAATAAGAAAGAGATTAAGTAAAAATGTCAACCATAAGAGAGATCCAAGGAAAAAGACACTGCTGACCAAAATCCCCCCTCACAAAACATGTTGATGATCCCCAAGACACAGCCCATTGTTTGCCAGCGATGCCAGTTTAAGTCATTATGCAAATGTAGTGTTTTTAAGGTTGAGGAAACCTGCAGTCAACTGAGACTGAAGAAGTCACTTGAATGAGTGACAAAACATTTCTTCCACTGAAAACACTACATCCAGATTTGAAGGATTTGATTTAAGCATTGATTCTGTTCTATACCATAAAATCCTGAAGAAAAAACAAAACAAAACTAAACAAACAAAACAAAAAAAAACCCAAACCAAATAACAGTTCTGGAGTGGCCTAATCAAAGGTCAAACTTTTAATGACATTGAGATGCTTTGGCATAACCTGCACTTCGGTGAAAGATCAATTGTTTGCTGAACATGACACTTCCATGCTCAAAAATCCTCCAATGTAGCTTAATTAACACAATTCTGCTGAGAAGATTGGGCCAACATTACTCCACAGTGATGTCAAAGACTTATTGCCAGTTATCACTAATGCTTGAGTGCAGTTTGTCCTGCCAAAAAGTGGCACGACCAGTTATCAGGTTCAGGAGATTAATTAATAATGTATACTTTATTGATCCCCGTGGGGAAATTACTTGTTTTTCCTCTACATTTGACCCATTCATTCAGTGAAGCAGTGGGCAGCCACTAAGCAGGCGCCCGGGGAGCAGTGTGTGGGGACGGTACCTTGCTCAGGTGTACTTCAGGGTGGTCGTTCAGTGAATTCGAACCCCCGACCTTCCGATCATGGGGCGACCAGTCTACCTACTGAGCTATCCCTGCCCCACAAGAAACGTTGCCATGAGCAGGATTAGAACCTGGCCCTCCTGGTCTCAAGGCGGCTACTTACTAATTTCTTACTGTAAGGGAGTGAGCTGGTTAGACAGGAGGAAACAGAGGTTAAATGAATATAACTTAACTTAAGCAGATTTTGCAACTTAGCATAGCTCCAAACTAACTTCTACCTCCTTTTGGGAAAAAAAAAAATCTAAAGTAGCACACTACAAATAAAAATAATGTATTTCAAGAATCTCAGTTACCAACTTCACAGTTGTTTGAATGCTCAGTTACATAGTTTTGGATAGCATTTTTCCCTTTATGAATTAAATCAATTAAAATTGCAATTTGTACTTATTGTGGCTATCTTTGTCTAATAATATAATTAGTTTGAGGATTTGAAAAATGCAAGTGTGACAAATGTGCAAAAAAAAAAATGAAAGAAGAGTCAAACACTTTTTCACACACACATATATCTATCTATCTATCTATCTATCTATCTATCTATCTATCTATCTATATATATATATATATATATATATATATATATACACTGTGCAGCTTATTGATCTCGGCTATCACCTGCACTAAGGCTGTTTCAGTTTAGTTTGAAGATAATTTGCTTCAATATCGGCTGTGATTTTTCTTTATTTGACTTTTTTACATTTTCTTTGTTCCATCACCATCATGTGCTATTCTGCACAAGATTGCACTTTGTGGACCAGAATATGTTTGTTCGTAGAAGAAAAGTTTACCTGCCAGTGTTCCAGATGTTAATGTTAACATGATGGAAATGCCTGTTAACATACAGACATTTAAAATATTTTTTTTTTTTAAAAAGGAGTTATTTTTTTGAATGATCTCACTGATGTGTACATTAAATTCCATCATCTTCATTTTAACTTTATTTTTTCTTAAAGAAAGTTTAAGATACTTTAACTTACCAATGAAGCTCCAACTATGAGTCCCACTCATGGCTTAAGAAAGTATCCAAGTCAAATGTATTGTGGCATTAATAAAATGCAGTAATTGGCAGGTAGACTGACTTACTGTCTCTGTAGTTTTCTTCTAATCACTACCAATCTCATACTATTCTCCCCTGTTTGTTTTGATATCCAAGAATATGCAAATTTTTAGTCAGTAATGTTTGCATGAATGACAACACACCCAAACTCATATCTGGATCTTCAGACCAAACCTTTCCAATGCATGTTTCTACAATTTAATGTTTAAATATTCTATTTTATTTTTTTACATTTTTCACTTGCCGTATTACACATTTTTATTCATTTCACTGATCATTACTTTCAAAGGCACATGCTTACCTCAAAGTCTATCAGCCAGATTCACACACAACTATATGTGCCGTTTTATTGTAAACTTTATTACTTTGATGAAGATGATGGCACTTGCATTTCTCAAGTGTAATATTTAATTTCAATGCTAATGTCTCTGACACAAACAGAGATACCTGTGCAGTTACAGTTTTCCACAGCATCGTTTACATCAGGGGTGTGAAATAAAAGCCCTGGGGCCAGCATTGACCCGACAGAGACTCCAATCTGGTCTGCTGAATGGTTTTGGAAAATGTGCATGGCATGCATTTATGGACTTCTTATAGGTGTACAACTTTTCCTGCTGATAAAAAGCTCCCCAAAAACTATTTATACTACACCAAAGTAGTTAGGTATTAGATAAACAGTTAAATGAGATAAAAAACATTTTTAATGTGTACAACAGAAATTCGAGTAAAAAAAATGAAAGTTTTCATCAGTCAAATAAAAATATAAGGTTTTATAAGTACATGACATCTGGGCAGTGAGCTACCAGAGATTTATCTGTAGTTTTACACACTTTTCATGTAGAAAAACTGAAATGTGCTGTTGAAATTGCACTTTTACAATATTTGCATACATGTGTTTAACATGATATAAGCCCAGCCAGATCAGCAGATGATGTTTAGGTTCACCCCACAATGGGCAACATCCAATTTAAGAATTTAAAATAAAACATCAAAACAGATTTAAACGGAATGAAAATGTTGCCATTGATGTAGTACTGGCACCACCTGTTGATACTGAGTTTCATATATGCTACATGGTTAATAATTAGCTTTAAAATAATAATATGTATTACTATTTTTTTAATAATTTGTTTAGAAAAACACTGAAAAGACATCTTTCTAACTCTGAATGAAATTTCTTTCACGTTCATCTTTGTGGATTAAATGATGTAGATAAAATACCTGCCCCGCTAATGTCACAGCAAGTTTGTGTTTTCTGTCAAAACTAAAAAACAAACACGCCTGTCTGGAAAAGGCAGCAATGCAAATGAGAAAACACAACAACACCTGACTTAAGATCTGCATCTTCTGAGAATATTTGCTAAATTCAAATCATTAAGAAGCATCTGACCTCTCAGTATTTTGCATCTGTTCAAAATTACATCAAAAGCAGTTTGCCTTTTACACTGACTTTAAATTAATAATATTTGGAAAATAATATTTGTTAAACTTTTTTTTAGTTCATGTAGTGAAATGGGTTCATATAAAAATGTTTTTGTTTTTATTAAATATTTTGCAAGATTTCACAGTTTAGCCCCGGAGTCACCTCAGTATACATAAGGAAAACTTTTTGCATCACGTCTAGTCATGCCTGTCTGGAAACGCTAGCAATGCAAATGAAAGAAAAAACAAGGACACAGCCTGTGACTTAAAGGCTATATCTTTGGAGAAATTTTCATTTGCAAAATTCAAATCGTCATTCAAATTGTGAATGAAATGAGAGCAGAGAAAGGCCTCTTAGTATTTTGAAAAGCAAGAATGGCGTCATATATGAAGTGGTGCATATATAGTACATGAGAACACAAACTTTATTTCAGCCTAAATTTTAATTCTAATGAATATGTTTGGCTTGAAACACGATCATAGGAAAAGAAGGAGGCTTTAAAAAACAACAACAAGATAACAAAACAGGAAAATTAGTATGGAAGAGTCTATAGTGGGATTCAGCAGGTGAGGGAATCTTAAAATCAGTTGTAGTGGCTCAGCATGCGGAAAAGTATCATAACTCATAATCATTTCTATTATGAGTTCCAGTAGATTTTTTTTATTGTACAGGCTGTGATCAGGTGACCTGTGCTGTGCTCTGAGGTTTAATGCTCTTTGTTGATTTACAAAACTGGATTCAACAAGATGCAACCCGAATCTTGGCTAATATCCATCCTGTATACTCACAGTACATTCATACTAGACTGTTTAAAGCTGATGCAAAGCTGGAATTCAGTTAATTCAGTGAGTCAGAATAATCATACTGATTATTCTGCTTTATTTTAAATTGTATCTTAAATTGTTACTTTGCGACTGATTTTGGTACATTTTAAATTGTTGCAGGACTGAATATGAAAATGCCACCAAATCCCTGGAAATCTTTCTGACAATCTTTCTAATTAATTTGTTTAGAGACAAAACTTATTTATACTGTCAGACAGCAGGTCTGCAATGATTTTTTTTAATATAGTGTCAGAGAGAATTTAGTAATTACAGACATGTGTGTTGTATGCTATATTGTCCACAAATGAAAAATAACATTTTCGCACTTTGCTGTGCGTGTAGTGTGAAGTGCTTAAGAACTTGTGTTCGTCTGCACAAATAAAAACCAAACTGTTTGATATTGTTATATTTTATAATATACGACTGTCTTTGTTTATTAATCCAAACTTTATTACCACATTTCATCATTACAGTCTTTGCCATAACTTTAGAGGCACTATTATAGGCACTTATTGCTTTATATAATGCAGAGGAACAACCTCACGTGTTTTGTAGAAATACAATTGCTATGATTGCTATGAGCATTACTACAAACTAGACAGGAAATTATTTAAAGATAAATCATTTATTCATGACTGTAACTTATGAAAAAGATAAACGTGGTGTTTTATGCGATTACTGAATTTTTCTAAGAATGGTTTAAAGGAGTGTAAAACATATTCAGATAGAAACTATTTCTAACAAAATAACTATGCATCACAGTTTATACTGTGTCATCTCCTTTATGGACTTGTTGGATCCTTGAGTGCTGGAGAAATAAACTCTCTGCACGCCATCGTCAGCACCTGAAAGAACATGAGGAAAAGTTCAATAAGGGAATACACAATAAAAGCACACAAGCCTTAATGTGGTGTAAGTAAAACCTGATTGGCAGATGAAGTTGAGGCTCTCCTCACAGGGCTGGTCCTGCCAGAGGAAGTGCTCTGTGCTGGCCACGCCTCCACAGGTGCTGGAGTAACAGTCTGGAACAAAATCTTGTGGCCAATTTAAGAAATTCATGGAATATCCAGACATCCAGAACCACTCGTCTGCTCTGAGGGATCTGTTGTAGAGAAAGTATAACGAACAGATGTAAACTGATTGGAAAATGCAGCTATTGACATTTAACATAAGCTATATGATTGATATTTATCTTCAAAATAACAAAATATGTTAAATATACTGGAAAAAATTTCACTGGAAAACAATTTGAATTTTATCATTTTAAGCATAATTTTGCTTAAGTGAATAGAAAATCCAAATGTAAGTTTGACACAGCAATGCAAATAAGAAAACACAACAACACAAAGCATCTAACTTAAAGATCTGTGTTGGGTCTGCGTTTCTGTGTGACTACCTGTTAATGAAATTCAGATTAACAAAGCACAGTAGGTGATCACTGGGAAGATGCAAATATGCCTGGAATGAGTTCAGAAAATTCCAATTTTCGTTCTTTTTTCTTTTGAAACAAGCATTAAACAAGAAGGGTCATCTCCATCAACCTGTATATGGCGTAACCCCTCTAATCGTCTCACCATACACAAGCACAGGTAAGGTCATAAATTCAGGAAGTAAATATCCTCGCTAAATAAGAGAACAGAACCCTCACATAGGATGTGCCTTCAGTTACACTGTAGCCCCCCTCACCATTCAACAGGCTGGGGAAGACAACAGAAACAAAGGAATGTCTTTGATGATTCAGTTTGAACTGAGACTTACAAATTTAAGTACACAATGACAACATTTAAGATAAGATGAGAATCTTTATTAGTACCACATCTGGAAAATTTGTTTTGTCACAACAGTGCAAAGTTATATAGCAAAAATTAAAGAACACAGGAAAACAATAAGAATAATACACTGTACACAACTGTACAGAATAGAATAGAATAAAAAAATACTATATATAGAATGGAATAAAATAAAATAAAATGTACAATAGGATAAAAATTTAATACATATACAACTGAGTAAAAATACAACTTTGGCAGAATATTTAACATTTTGACTCTAACAATCTGCCTCTTCTGAGAATATTTCCTCAGAAGAGGCGGGGCATCTGACCTCTTAGTATGTTGCAGCAGTTTAAATTTACATAATATGCCTTCTTTATTAACTGTGAAAAATGTATTCCCTATGACACACAATTGGATAAATAATCAGAAAACAAGTAAATATTTTCTTGACTGGGTTTTTTTGTTTTGGGGGTCATTGTGTTGTCAGAAGTTATTTCTTCTTTGAACCATTGGTAGTTATTTTCATTCACTTTGTACATTGTTTGCATTTCTTTCTGGCTTTTCCTGTTGTGTCTTTCTCCATTTATTTGGTTGTTTCTTCTGTTTCTTTGTTCTCATTTGATATTTATGTATAGTTCTTTAACAGATTTTTCCATTTCACTTGTGATTGGAGAGAAGCACCATCTCATTTATGTTATGTCCTGCTCATTATTTAATCTGTGATGTACATCAGCTAAATGTATCTATAGCTATCAGTACCTGCGCAGTCCCATCCAGATGTGGTCTGTGAGGGAGAAAGGAACGAGGCCCAGCAGCTGCTCCAACTCGCTTTGCTCCTGTTGGCTGTGAAGGCTGAGCAGGTCCCAGTAATAACGTCTACAGTACATCAGAGCATCAGACCAGCAGAGCCTCTCTCCCACCACCGTCACGTTCCTGCCACCAAGCTGCAGGCTCACAGGTGGAGGAGGGGTGGGAGGAGGTGGAGGAGTTGGTAAAGGAGTGACAGCTTCTGGAACTACAGGGAAGTACTTTGCTTTAGGTTTCTGTTTGTTTAAGCCAGTTTGGTTGTTATTGTTTTCCTTTCATTTTAACATGTTCCATTCAAATATTCGGCAGTTTAACTGGACACTGAAAGCTAAAAGTTCAGCAAAGTGCATGATGTTCATTTGGTCCTATGAACAATGGTAAATACAAGAAAAAGAAAAAAACAACAACAGTAAAAATCTTACAATAATAATTTAAGCACACAAAACCACAACAATTTCTAAAAAATAGCACAACAAGACCCTACCAGAGAGAGAAGCAAACACCTCCACTTCACACAGGGTTGTGTAAGTCCTTTTTCCTGGTATGATCACAGTGACGTAGCGACCTTCCATTTCATTACACTGGAATGTGTATGTTGGTGTACCATCTAATGATGTGATCATGCCACAACTGATGGATGTAGAGAAACAACAAAGAAAATGATAGATTAGAACTTAAAACTATGTTCAGACATTAGTTTTTCTTTGTTTTAAAAAAACAAAAAAATATTGAATTTAATGTTGAAGGAGAAAAGTTACATTTATCAGAAATCAGATCTCACCTGGGGTTCATGTTACCATTTTGATCCAGCGAGTTCCCGATCAGGATCTGTGCCCCAAGAATCCTTTCAGGACAACAGTCCTGTCTGTTGATGATGGTGACAGCACTGACTTTATAGACAGCCAGTAAGTCTACTCTCCACCAGGGACCCAGCTGTCCTACAGTACAAGAACAGCATCTTATGTTGAAGTTTCCATTCCTGCACCCATCGACACCCTTTGAGGGCCCAAACACTGGCCCATACCAAGTTGATGACTGTACTGTTTGTTTGTTTAAGGCCACGTTTGGAAGCGGTTCCACTAAATTGTGGAAAAGAAGAAACAAGTATCAGTATCAGGCAGATGTGTTTCAGTAGATCAGATCCAGTCACTTAAAGCTCTACCTGCTGGGGCAGCATACACCTCCACTTCACACAGGGTGAGAGTCTTCTTCTGTCCAGGAAGAAACACATTCACAAAGCGACCCTCCATGCTGCCTCCATCACACCGGTATGTGTAGGTTTTACCTGCTTTGATATGTGAGATGGAAGCACACCTGACAGCAGAGAGTGTGGGGGCAGTATTATGTTAGTATTATGGACTTCATGTTAAGGAGAAGGTAACATCAAGTAATTAACTAGTCCTGTGGTCGATAATATGTATATTCTAATTGCTGAAACATTGCTGTTCAAGTTATTCTAAAGTAAAACAAACAAAGAAAAAAATCACAATGAACGTTGACTGATATAAAATTACCTGGGATTACTGTTTCCATTGTTCTCCAGTGAGTTTCCTATTCTGATCTCAGCTCCATCCAGTCTTTCAGCACAGCAGTCTCCTCTGTTGGTGACTTTTACAGCAGTGATTGTAAAGCTTCGCTGCAGGTCCACCCTCCACCAGGGGTTGGTCTCGTCTTCAGCCGTGTGGCTACAGAACCCATTGCTATAGAACGAGTTCCGTCTGCCATCGATGGCTTTGGACGCAGTGGCAACAGAGAGTGTAGATGACTGGGTAGCTTCTCCTTTGAGTGCCACATTGGGTAATGGGTATCCTTGAAGGAAAACCAAGAAAACAATAATTTATGTTGTTTGGGCTCTGACAACTCTTATTGATTTATATAATAAAAACACAAAGAATAATTGCATGTCACAGTCCTGGGTCAATTTGACCCAGCGTTCTTAGGTTTCTTGTGTTTTTCTACTTTTTTAGTTCATGATTTATTCCATGGTTCCTAGGTTGTTTATTTTATTTTACTGGATTCCGCCTTGTGTCTCTGCCCTCTGTCTCCCCATGTGTCTGTGTTATATTGTTGTGTGAGTTCTCGTGCCGTGGTTTGTGTTTCATTCTGTTATGTTTTCCATGTTTATCCAGCGTGTCATGTTTGCACTCTTCCTTGTGTTTCTCAGTGTTCCCTCCAGTCTGCATCTCTGTATATTTCCTGTTTTACTCTGAAGGTCTGTGTCTCATGTTAGTCTATTCTGTTTTGCTTCCTTGTCTCGTTGTGCCCAATCAGTTCCACCGGGCTTGCCACCTGTTCCTTGTTCCCTCATGTTCCTGTCTGTGTATTTATATTGTGTGTCATCTCGTCCTCGTTGTTGGTTCATCTGTGTTTCTTCCCTGCCTCATTCTGTGTCATCTTCCCGCGTCTCCCTGCATCCCGGTTTCAGTTCAGTGTTTTGTTTGTTTCTCCCAGTATAAATTTCTTTGCTTCTGTTTCTCGCCTGCTAAGTTTTTGTTTGTTTCACTTACCAGTTTAATAAAGCTCACCTGCATCTGAAGCTGCCTGCATCTTGCGTCCTAACTTTCAACCTCCACTCATCTGCCATGGCAGACGTGACATTGTAATGTTGTTAGAAATTAAAAACACCCTGACATGAAAGCTGTCATTTGTTCTTTGACTCAGTAAATTGCAGTTTTATGTATCTGCATCAGAATTGAAAGTATTTACCGTAATACACTTCAACCTCACAGAGACTTAGGACCTTTGCACTTCCTGGTAAAAACACAGTGACGTAGCGTCCCTTCAAAGAGTTACATGGAAAATAAAACGCTTGTCCGCTGGGAATGTGGGAGATGACAGCACACCTGTGTATGAAACATTCAAAAAGAAAAAGTAAAGAATAAATATAAATAAGTCCTATTGATATGATAAATAATGACTTACGGTTATAAATCAAGCTCTTTCACCTGATGCTTTCAGGGTCACTGATTGTTATTGAATTTCCGATCCAGATTTCGGCACCATCCAGCCCATTTTCCAATTCCTGTCTATTGGTTATCATTACAGTCCCAATTGTATACACATTTACCAGGTCTACTCTCCACCAGGGATCAGATTCTGCATTGGTAAGTGTACAAGACCCACTTTGATAGTTTGCATCTCTATTTCCATCAACTGCCTTACCAGCAATACCCACAGTGCCACTGGTTGAAGATTGGACAGCTTTTTGTTTCAGTGCCAGGTTGTAAAGGAGTTGACCTAAGTGATTAAAAAAAAATATTAATGAAAACATAGAGGGCTATTTTTACATTTTTGCTCGGAATAAGCAATATACATATAAATATACAGATAAATCTAGGTCCAGTGTCAAATTAGTAGTTATTATATTTGTATTTGCCTGAACTGAGACGGATTCATTTTATTAAGAATGAAACGTTGCTCAATTATTGGCTGTGCTTTCTAAATAAAAATCTTTATTTTTTTAATTTTTGCAAACTTGTGATAGTTTGCACTTAACAAATGTGGACGAGAATGTTTTGATTGCAGAAGAAAAATTTACCTGCCAGTGTTCCAGATGTTAATGTTAACATGATGGAAATGCCTGTTAACATACCGACATTTGAAAGATATTTAAAAAAAAGGAGTTATTTTTTTGAATGATCTCACTGATGTGTACATTAAATTCCATCATCTTCATTTTAACTTTATTTTTTCTTAAAGAAAGTTTAAGATACTTTAACTTACCAATGAAGCTCCAACTATGAGTCCCACTCATGGCTTAAGAAAGTATCCAAGTCAAATGTATTGTGGCATTAATAAAATGCAGTAATTGGCAGGTAGACTGACTTACTGTCTCTGTAGTTTTCTTCTAATCCTTACCAGTCTCATACTTTACTCCTGCATTTGTTTCAGTATCCAAGAATATGCAAATTTTTAGTCACTGATGTTTGCATGAATGACCACACACTCAAAATCTTCAGACCAAACCTTTCCACTGCATGTTTCTACAATTTAATGTTTAAACATTTTATTTTTCTACATTTTCACTTGCCTTATTAGACATTTTTATTCATTTCACTGATCATTACATTCAAAGGCACATAAGCTTACCTCAAAGTCTATCAGCCAGATTGAAGATGATGACACTTACATTTCTCAAGAGTAATATTTAATTTCAACACTACGGGCTCTTACACAAACAGAGATACTTTTTATACATTTAATATATTGCTGAATTTACAACAAAAAAAAAAATGTGGAGGGATATATTCTAAAGTAATAAGCACACATAGTGTATAAAACTTAAGTTACTATGACCATGAGTAATGAACCAATCAGCAGCATTTTAAACAGGGATCAGAAGCACAGCTGTATATGAGTCCAACTCAGTGTATCATCAGAACAAGGGTTTTAAAAAGAGACAACCTGTTTTTTTCTGCAGCTACAGTTTTCCACAGCATCGTTTACATCAGGGGTGTCAAACATAAGTCCTGGGGGCCAGAACTGACCCGACAGAGACTCCAATCTGGTCTGCTGGATGGTTTTGGAAAATGTGCATGGCATGCATTTATGGACTTCTTATAGGTGTACAACTTTTCCTGCTCCTCAAGAGCCATTTGTACTACACCAAAGTAGTTAGGTATTAGATAAACAGTTAAATGACAGAAAAAACCTTTTAATGTGTACAACAGAAATTCCAGTAAAAAAATGAATGTTTTCATCAGTCAAATAAAGATATAAGGTTTCATACATACAGGAGATCTGGGCAGTGAGCTACAAGAGATTTTTCTGTACTTTTACACACTTGTCATGTAGAAAAACTGAAATGTGCTGTTGAAATTGCATTTTTACAATATTTAAATATGTATAATAATAATATACATACGTTTAACGTTATATAAGCCCAGTCAGATCACAAGAGGATGTTTAGGTTCACTTCACAGGGAACAAAATCTTGTGGCCAATTTAAGAATTTAAAATAAAAACATCAAAACAGATTTAAACTGAATGAAAATGTTGCCATTGATGTAGTACTGGCACCACCTGTTTATACTGAGTTTCATATATGCTACATGGTTAATAATTAGCTTTAAAATAATAATATTTATTACTATTTTTTTAATAATTTGGTCAGAAAGACACTGAAAAGACATCTTTCTAACTCTGAAAGCTGAAGGTTGGCTTTTCCACATGAATCGTTCAGTCCAAATTGAGTTAAAGAAAAAAGAAGAGAAAAGAAAAATTTCACTACAAAAGATGGGATTTTATCATTTTTGCTTATCTGAACAAAAGTCTGAATGAAATTTCTTTCACGTTCATCTTTGTGGATTAAATGATGTAGATAAAATACCTGCCCCGCTAATGTCACAGCAAGTTTGTGTTTTCTGTCAAAACTAAAAAACAAACACGCCTGTCTGGAGAAGGCAGCAATGCAAATGAGAAAACACAACAACACCTGACTTAAGATCTGCATCTTCTGAGAATATTTGCTAAATTCAAATCATTAAGAGGCATCTGACCTCTCAGTATTTTGCATCTGTTCAAAATTACATCAAAAGCAGTTTGCCTTTTACACTGACTTTAAATTAATAATATTTGGAAAATAATATTTGTTGAACTTGTTTAGTGCATGCAGTGAAATGGGTTCATATAAAAATGTTTTTGTAAAAACTATACTTTAAAATACTTGAATAAAATCAACATTTAGCAATAAATCAAAACTAAAAATTGGAAGTTTTATTTAAATATTTTGCAAGATTTTACAGTTTTACCTCAGTATACATAAGAAAAACTGTTTGCAACACGTCTAGTCATGCCTGTCTGGAAATGCTAGCAATGCAAATGAAAGAAAAAACAAGGACACAGCCTTTGACTTAAAGACTATATCTTTTGAAAAAATTTTCATTTGCAAAATTCAAATCATCACTGTGTATGAAATGAGAGCAGGGAAGGGCCTCTTTCTATTTTGCATAAACATAAACTGAGTAAATGAGCCTTCTTTATGAAGTAGTACATGAGAACACAAACTTTATTTCAGTCTAAATTATAATTCTAATGAATATGTTTGGCTTGAAACACGATCATAGAAAAAGAAGGAGTCTTTAAAAAACAACAGCAAAAAAAAAAAATATTATAAATTCCAGTAGATTTTCTTAGTGTACAGGCTGTGATCAAATGACCTGTCCTGTGCTCTGAGGTTTAATGCTCTTTGTTAATTTATAAAACTAAATTCAACAAGATGCAACCTGATGTCTTGGCTAATATCCATCCTGTATACTCACAGTACATTCATACTAGACTGTTTAAAGTTGATGTAAAGGTGGAATTCAGTGAATGAGTCTAATCATTGTCAGCTAAAATTCATATTAAATCCATCACAGGCTTGGAATTGGCTAATTTGTCAATTGTTTGTTACAAATGTTTGTATTTTAATATTAAAAAAATGTTTTTGCCCAAAACATATGTGCACTAAATTGGTATGGTCTGGATCTGGCCCACACAATGTGCTCACACATGGCCCACATACCGCAAAGAATGACGGCCCTTTGGTGGCCCAGATCTGGTTTGCCAGAGGTGCACAAGCACAAGGCCAGTTGCAGACACACTGGTGGTCCTGTGCTGGCCCATGTGTGGACCTCTGGCAAACCAGATCTGGGCCATCAAAGGGCCGTCATTCTTTGTGGTATGTGGGCCATGTGCAAGTTGTGTGCAGCCACGGGCCAGTTGCTGACACACTGCTGGACGAGAACAGTTTCAGCTTTTGCCCAGATGTCAGCCTAATGTGTACCTTAATCAAGCTATGTAATAGAAACATGTGCCAGAACATAATAGTGCAAACGTAACAAGATGATACTCTGTCCAGACAGCGAATGGCCTGATTACTGTAAATGCTCTACACAAGATGGCACGTACTCCTAATCGCACACTTTTTCTAGACTGAGTGCTTCTTAACTACATTCACACACATTGACACTAATGACATGCAGACTGGAGAAGCCAGGAATCAAACCACTAACCTTCCCATCACTAGGTGACCTGCTCTACCTCCTGAGCTACAGCTACCCAGTGGTAAAAATGAGTAAACCATCACTAGGTTTTGGATAAAGTGTAAACTCACAAACCTGTCAAACCTTCATTTGAAACATTGGCTACCATAGCAGTATAGTATTGCAACATGGCATTTGGGTTTTCTAACTAAAATAGGAAAACAGGAACATAAACAGTGCCTCATTGCCAGACCTGGCCCACATCTGGTTGACATGCACTCTGCAATGACACCAGTCAGAAGTGCCAGCTTGATGCGAGATCCCGGCCAGGCCTGCTTTGTATGGGGCTGGGCCACATAAACCAAACAATAATTGGGCCAGATATGACATGCCATCATGCATAGACAGTGCCATCTATGCCAGGCCTGGCCCATATCTGGATGACATACGTCTTATCATGCCAGAAGTCAGCCAGCAGTGCCGGCTTGATACCAGATCCGGGTCAGACCTGCTTGTTATGTGGGAATGTGTGTGTAGTGTTAAAAAGTGCTTAAAAATGTGTGCTCTTTTCTACACGTAAACTGTTTGATATTAGAATATTTCATAATTCAGAGAATTTGTACTTCAGTTCTGGCTTTATCAAGACATTTCATCACTACAGTCATAACTTTAGAGCTAGTTATTATAGGCACATATTTCCATATAAAATGTAAAGGAGTAAACTCACTTGCTTTGCATAGATACAATTACTACAAATGCTATGAGCATTACTATGAATCAGAAAGGAAAAATCTACAAAGAAATTATTTATATATGACTTCAACTTAGTGTTTCATCAGGATTGGCGATATGAAAAAGAAAACATGGTGTGTTGTGCACTTACTGAAATTTTGGCAAAAGAATTTTAAAGGAGTGCAAAACAGGTTTTAAGTAATAACTATTTCTAACAAAAACTATGCATCACAGTTTATACTGTGTCATCTTGGTTCCTATGGACTTGTTGGATCCTTGGTGCTGTAGAAATGAACTCTCTGCACAGCATTGTCAGCACCTGAAAGGACATGAGTTAGAGTTAAATCAAAGTAATGCACAATAATTGCATACAAGCCTTAACATGGTGCAAGTAAAACCTGATTGGCAGATGAAGTTGAGGCTCTCCTCACAGGGCTGGTCCTGCCAGAGGAAGTTATCCATGCTGGCCATGCCTCCACAGGTGCTGGAGTAGCTGTCAGGAACAAAATCTTGTGGCCAATTTAAGAAATTCATGGAATATCCAGACATCCAGAACCACTCATCTGCTCTGAGGGATCTGTTGTAGAGAAAGTAATGGACAGATGTAAACTGATTGGAAATGCTTCTGTAGAATAGGGAGCACTTGTTTACAATGAGTTTGACAAAAGCTACAGGATTGATATTTATCTTTAAAATAACAATTTATATTAATATTTTTTAAATAATCTAGAAAGACCCAAAGACACAAAACTTTTTTTAAGCTGAATGTTGGCCTTTCCAGTGTAATTTTCAAAATTTTCAAAAGTCTTGTTTGTGGATTAAATAATACAGAATTAATAAACTGCCCTTCTTGTGTTACAGCAGCTGTGTTGGTGTCTGGGACAGGCAGCAATGTAAATGAGAAAACACAAGAACACAAAGCATTTGACTTAAAGATCTTCATTTTCTAAAAATATTTCCTAAATTCAAATCATTAAGGTGGGCCATCTCACCTCTTGGTATTTTGCAGCAGTGTAAAATTAAGTCATATGCCAGCTTTACTGACAGTAAAAAGATAGCCTCTATGATCATCAATTAAAAAAATGATCACAAAATGGGTAAATATTTTTCTTTTTTGCAGGCATTTTGTGGTAGAGCAGGGCATCTACTTATCGTACAGTCGGTGGTTTGATCCCTGGCTCCCTCTGGTCTGCATGCCAAATATCCTTGGGCAAGATATTAATCCTAAATTGCCCTTTAATTGGAGAGCTCCACCATCTCATTTATATTTTGTCATGCTGATTCACTGATCTGTAGATGTACATCAGCTAAATGTATCTATAGCTATCAGTACCTGCGCAGTCCCAGCCAGACATGGTCTGTGAGAGAGAAAGGAACGAGGCCCAGCAGCTGCTCCAACTCGCTTTGCTCCTGTTGGCTGTGAAGGCTGAGCAGGTCCCAGTAATAACGTCTACAGTACATCAGAGCATCAGACCAGCAGAGCCTCTCTCCCACCACCGTCACGTTCCTGCCACCAAGCTGCAGGCTCACAGGTGGAGGAGGGGTGGGAGGAGGTGGAGGAGTCGTAATAACGTCTGGCAATAGTGAAGAAATTTTTTCTTAGAATTCGGTTTGTTTAAGCCATATTTGGTGGTTATTGTTTTCCTTTTATTTTAATATGTTAAATTACAATAGTCTGTAGTGAAATTAGACACTGAAAGCTAAAGAGCAAAGTGCATTAAATTAATCTGGTCCTATTTACAATAGCAAATATGAGAAAAAGGCAAAACAATAGAAAATTTTACAATGATAATTTTAGCACACACTACTAACTAAGAACTAAGAACCTCTAGAACTAACACCCCAAACCCTACCAGATAGAGAAGCAAACACCTCCACTTCACACAGGGTTGCGAAAGTCCTTTTTCCTGGTATGATCACAATGATGTAGCGACCTTCCATTTCATTACACTGGAATGTGTATGTTGGTGTACCATCTAATGATTTGATCATGCCACAACTGATGGATTGAGAGAAAAAAAAAGATGAAAAATGGTGGCTTTCTTTAATTAATGAATTTGTATATATATACACACACACACAATATGTCACACCATGTGTATGCTGTTTCTATTTATTGAACCTTTCAAGTACAAAAACATAAAGAAAATTAAAGCCATAAAGCCACGGCACCACTTTGCTGTCATTCCAGACCTCAAAAAAGTCTGGAATGACAGGTAAGCGGTGCAATGGTTAGCACTGTTGCCTCACAGCAAGAAGGTCCAGAGTTGAAATCCACAATATGACAGAGTTTGCAGTGGGTTTTGTTTGGATACTCTGCTTTCCACCCACAAATAAAAGTCATGCAGTTATTGGAGTTAGGTTAATTGGTGATTCCAAATTATCCATAAATAAATCTGTTTGTATTAGCAATGTGATAGACTGGCCACCTGTCCAGGGTGTACCTCTGGCCCTATCTCATCTGGGATAGGCCCCAGCCCACCACAACCATGATTAAAATAAATGGATGTATGGAGTGGAAATTCTTATAAAGCCATACAATTTATGTGTTGTATGACTCTAGACTTTTTGAACAAGCCAAAAAAATGACTTTTAGAATAAACTTAAAATAATTATGGAAAGGATTTCAACATTAAAACATGATTTTCTTTTAGTAATGAGTTGCTTTGTCAGGTTAACATAATTTGCATGGGTTGGATCAGTTCGGGTGAATTAAGTTGGACTCAACTGCTGTAAGTAAGTTGATTCATCATTATTATTTAAGTTGGTCCAACCCAAGTATATTAAGTTGGAACAACAGAGTTAAAACAATTTAATCACTTGGAAATTCTTTCCATTATTTTTATTATGTCATTAAAAGAGTTATTTTTTTCCTCCTCCATGGAGGAGAATTTTTGTTTTATTAGTTTTAATCTTTTAACTTTATGCATCAAGCAAAAATTTAATTAAATGCAACATTCTCTGACTGGAAGAAATGTGTTTAACATTTAAACCTATTTTCTGCACATTCCTGCACAAAAAGTAAAATGTTTTTTTTTTTGTTTACACTCATTTTCAAAAAAGATGCAAGTGAAACACAGCAGAAAATAAATAAAATCAAAGACTCGGCGGTCCTGTTGCAGGCGGAGGTTTGCCCTGGTGCAGGTGAGCCGCAGCGGTCAGTGGAAGAATCGGCAAGTTTGTCTGTGAATTTCCCATTACGTGGGAGCGCTTGGTGCTTGCTCGGAAGTTTGGGGTTTTTTTCGCTGTAAAAATAAGTTTTCTTTCCACTTAGTGAACAACGGACGCTAATGTTTTTGTCACTTTTTACGGTATCAAACTCAAGGTCAAGGTACTGACCAGGTACTGACCTGACCTTCCTGTCAAGGTAAGCTCAGTACTTCCACGCTGCACGGTCATACTCTCTCCCGCACTCGATATATTATCCTTTGTTGATCTGCACACATCTGCATCTGAGACTTGCTTGCTAAAACCACTATTAACCTTTGCTTGACGCTGTTGTCCTGTGAGCTGCCCTTCACGCGAGCTGTTTACTGTCAGAAACTTGTCCTCTGTGGGTCTGGCAGACATCTCCTGTCAGAGTTTGCCCCGGCTTCTGAGTGTCTTTTGATAGTGAAGGAAACTGTACTCAATGCCACCTTGACATTCTCTGTAGGTAAGACCTACATTATTAACTATTATGATGGTTTGTCTCTCTTTTATTGTTAAGTGTCTTTTTCTCACCATTTTTGTAGCCACACACTACTTTCTGCACAATAATACTGTTTAACTGATCCTCACAAGGTACCACAGCATGTTCCAACACTGCTTTTATGCAGACAAAGAGAGTTGTAAGTAATCCAGAAAAGTTGGAAAACCTGTAGGAATTAGCACCACCATTCAAGGCTTGATCAACCTCCATTTCTGCAGAACAGTTTTAAATTGGTAGCATATTGTGTGTTCCCTGAAAAAGGCCTTTTTGTATGATTCTGTATGATTATTTTTCAGTTTTGCGTTTCCATAACTTTTTTTAACCTCTGGCAGTTCATCACTTACCTTCGTACAATTTCAAGGTATTTATTGGACTTAAACAGCTTGAATTGAAACAAATAACTAGAAATGTTTGTAGCATATATATGTTTCTTAATTAGGAAAAAGAATTAACTTGATGTTTATGGAGAAATGTTGTATTAGTCGGAAATCAGATCTCACCTGGGGTTTTGGTTTCCATTTTGTTCCAGCGAGTTCCCGATCAGGATCTGTGCCCCAAGAATCCTTGGAATATAACCATCCTGTCTGTTGATGATGGTGACAGCACTGACTTTATAGACAGCCTGTAAGTCTACTCTCCACCAGGGACCCAGATCTTGATCATTGTGTGTACAGCATCCTGAGTCCAAGTTTCCATTTTTGCACCCATCAACACCTTTTGAGGGCCCAAACACTGGCCCATACCAAGTTGATGACTGTACTGTTTGTTTGTTTAAGGCCATGTTTGGAAGAGGTTCAACTAAATTGTGGAAAAGAAGAAACAAGTATGAATGAGTACTTGGGAGGTTTCAGTAGATCAGATCCAGTCACTTAAAGCTCTACCTGCTGGGGCAGCATACACCTCCACTTCACACAGGGTGAGAGTCTTCTTCTGTCCAGGAAGAAACACGTTCACAAAGCGACCCTCCATGCTGCCTCCATCACACCGGTATGTGTAGGTTTTACCCACTTTGATATGTGAGATGGAAGCACACCTGACAGCAGAGAGTGTGGGGGCAGCATTATGTTAGTATTATGGACTTCATGTTAAGGAGGTAGCATGGAGTCCTGAACTAGAAGAGCAATAATCAGCATGTGGTGGATAATATGTAGACTAAGCTCTGAAAAATTTGCTTGTTTGTTTTATTTTTGATTCAGAAAAAAGGAATAGATGTTACAATCCCTGATCATGAATTGCATGGAGTCCTGAACTAGAGCATCATGTGGTGGATAATATTTATGTTGTAATCTCTGAAATATTTCTGTTCAAATTAATGTAAAATAAAACAAATAAATAAACAAAAATCATAATGACCATTGACTGATATAAATTCATCATTACCTGGGATTACTGTTTCCATTGTTCTCCAGTGAGTTTCCTATTTTGATCTCAGCTCCATCCAGTCTTTCAGCACAGCAGTCTCCTCTGTTGGTGACTTTTACAGCAGTGATTGTAAAGCTTCGCTGCAGGTCCACCCTCCACCAGGGGTTGGTCTCGTCTTCAGCCGTGTGGCTACAGAACCCATTGCTATAGAACGAGTTCCGTCTGCCATCGATGGCTTTGGACGCAGTGGCAACAGAGAGTGTAGATGACTGGGCAGCTTCTCCTTTGAGTGCCACATTGGGTAATGGGTATCCTTGGAGGAAAACCAAGAAAACAATAATTTCTTTTGGTTGGGCTCTCACACCCAGTGGCAGTTTTTGAAATGGACAACATGGGCGGTTGTCAAGGGCAAAAATTAATAATCCGACATATTTAGTACAAGTAATATTACTATGACCAACGGTTATGAACCAGCCAGCAGTATTTTAAACAGAAATCAGAGGTACAGTTGTATATGAGTCCAAGTCAGTGCATTATCAGAACGGAGTTTTTAAAAAAGACAAACATGTTTTTTGTGCAGTTTCAGAGTTTTCCACCTGTGGCAGTTATTGATATGGGCGACATCAGTGGGAGCCCAGAGCAGTATTGTGGTGGGGGTGGCATCATGGCATCAACAACAAAAAAAAGTTGCTCGTACGCATGCTTCCCCGATATCATACCATTGCATTTTGGCGTGGTGAGCCTGGTGCGCCTGCTGCTTGCTGCACATGGAGGAGAGGGGCGGAGCGACGGGGATTCTCTGGCTGGCCCGAGCACCATCTCTTTCACCATCTTACAATGCTGTGATTGCAGCGATTCCCCAATTCTCTCTGAATGGTACTCATGGCCATTGATCAGTGGTCTTTGATCAATGAGCTTTGATCATTGGAATACAAGCATGCTGATCCACACAGGTATGCACACAGGTGTACACACGGGTGTTCACAGACGAGGACTACACCTTTCTTGGCTGCTGCCTCAAAGCACATTGTGCACTGTCTATCTTGTGTGCTGCACAATATCGTTTAATATTTAGTATCTACTGTTATCTACTGCTAGCTAGTTTATTGTGATGGTGCTGTTTTTTATTATGTTGCGCTTTTTTTGTTTGCTTTCTCTTCTGTTTTTTTTTTCTCCATGCAGGTGATCCAGGTGTTTTGTTTGTTTTTCTTTCTTCCCCCCTTTCTCACCGTCCCTTCTCCCCTTTGGTTTTCTTTCTCTCCCTCTCTTTCTTTCATTCTTTCTCCCTGTGCTATCCCCCAGTCATGTCTGTCCCGTTTGTATCAACCGAAAATAAAATAAATACATAATTATAATAAAGGTCAATCAAATGGACCAATATGGCAAGGCCATGATGATCCACTTGGTAAAATAAATCCGCTTGGCATCTTTCTTGGCCTTAAGACAACAATTCTGATGGCTAAAGATCCAAACGGGACACAAAAAAAAAAACAAGTTACTTGGATGAGTGACGAAATGTTTCTCCCACTGAAAATGTTATGTCCAGATGAACAGAATCAACTTCTGGGGGGGTTCGTTTGTTAGCAATTTGGCTATGATAGTAAACAGTAGACAGACAGTAGACACAGATGTGGTTTATTGAATCTTTTGGACTGTTTTCAATATAATATTAATTACATATTAATTGGAAAAGGTGTATTGTTGATTTGTCTGCTTTTCTCAAAGGGGGGCGGTAGAGGGAGGGTTCGCCCATGGCACAAAACGGGTCAGGACCGCCCCAGGTCACACCCCTTACTGATATAAATAAAAAATAAAGAATTAAGTAAAGAATTGAAGGTATTTACCATAGTACACTTCAACCTCACAGAGACTTAGGACCTTTGCACTTCCTGGTAAAAACACAGTGACGTAGCGTCCCTTCACAGAGTTACATGGAAAATAAAACGCTTGTCCGCTGGGAATGTGAGAGATGACGGCACACCTATGTATGAAACATTCAAAATGAAAAAGTAAAGAATAAATATAAATAAGTCCTATTGATATGATAAATAATGACTTACGGTTATAAATCAAGCTCTGTCACCTGTTACTTTCAGGGTCACTGATTGTTATTGAATTTCCGATCCAGATTTCGGCACCATCCAGCCCATTTTCCAATTCCTGTCTATTGGTTATCATTACAGTCCCAATTGTATACACATTTACCAGGTCTACCCTCCACCAGGGATCAGATTGTTCACTGGTAAGTGTACAAGACCCACTTTGATAGTTTGCATCTCTGTTTCCATCAACTGCCTTACCAGCAATACCCACAGTGCCACTGGTTGAAGATTGGACAGCTTTTTGTTTCAGTGCCAGGTTGTAAAGAAGTTGACCTAAATGATTTTTAAAAAGTGGTTATTAATAAAAACAAACAAATGCATATAAATCCAGGTCAAGTGTCAAATTAGGAGTTCCTATATTTGTATTTGTGGAGGTTTGCAACAGGCAATTTACTACATATTGGACTGAATGTAGAGTCACAATAGCAGCACCTAGTTCACCCCTGAAGTGTTTGCAAAAGTTTCTTCTAGGAGTGTTAATTTATTTTTAAATGAAAAGTGGAGAGGTTATTAGAACAATTGACTAATTAATATGAGTTAATGGCTCAAATATGCATGTCCGCCTTATGTCAGCCCGAAAAGTATTTCTGCCCTTTCTGATTTCAGTTACATGTTTTGTGCCATCAAATAAAATGTAACAATAGACAAAAATAATGAGTAAATACAAGAAACTGTTTATTTAGCTAAGAATTATTTCATTAGGAGAAAAGAAGCTAACTAAATCTACCTGGCCTTGTGCCTAAAAGTCATGGCTCTTCCTTGTTCAGTCATGAGTTAACTTCGATCAACTATAAACTGTACTAAGCTGAGTTTAATGTCAATGGAATGGTTCTTATATAAAGCTTTTCTACTCTTCAGAGCAGTTTCTGTTGGCTAGCCAACAGAAAATACTCCAAGAGTACATATGTATTCATCTGCATGTCAAAAAAGAACCCAGAACGACATACAAAGAACTGCAGGTTTCACTTGTTTCAGTTAAGGTCAGATTTTGTGATTCATCAATAAGAAAAAGACTGAAAGAAAATACCATCTATGTGCGACTGCAAGGAGAAAACCACTGCTGACCAAAAATAACACAAAGTCTCCTCTCACATTTGCCAGTAAACAGGCCACTTCAGTTTTGCTCTTTCATGTGATAATGTGCCTTCTCCTTGCCTCCAGTTGACTCAGCAGCCTGTGAGTCTGTCACCCATGTTACTTGTAACTGCTAACTCCGATGAAAAGAAAAAAAAACAAACTTAAATAGTACAGTAGAAATCAAAATAATGTATTTGAAGAACAGTTGTTATCAATCTCACCGTTGTGTGAATGGTCAATCACATATTTTCAGGAAGTTTTGGATAGCTTTCTTTTCTTCATAAATTTAAAATGTTCAAAACTGCAATTTATGTTTACTATGTTTATTTTTGCCTAATATAAAAATTTGTTTGAGGATTTAAAAAATGTGTGAATATGTGCAAAGATATAAGAAAAGCTAATGAAACATTTGTGTTTCTCAGTTACAACTAAAATCAGTGTCCAGTGAGTAGGGACAGGTAAGATAAGATAACCTTTATTAGTCCCACACGTGGGAAATTTGTTGTAGTGTCACAGTATAAGACACAATTTCTTATTTTATGTATTATAAGCAGTGTTGGTCAAGTTACTTAAAAGTAATTAATTATAGTTACTAGTTACTTCTTCAAAAAGTAACTGACTAAGTAACTGAGTTACAAGATTCTAAAAGTAATTATTAACTTGAAAAGTAACTATTGCATTACTTTAAAAAAAATGTTTACCCTCTGGGGTCCAGGGTATAATTGTTCATTTTTTACTACTTTTGATTTTTTTCTCTAAATTTCACATTTACATATTATTTACTTTGTCTTGTTTGGTATCATCCTTTTCAGCACAACCTCATGTGTCTGAAATTACAGTTATGTTTCCATTTTGACATACTGTATTAACACAATTGATCTAAAATCAGACAAAAAACATAAAATTCAAGTAGAAAGTTATATTTTTTACTGTAACAAGCGCAAACATGTTTACTGAATTATATTTCATAACTTTAAATGCAAATATAAATTGTCAATTTTACAATAATATGGACAACTTTTGCAAACAACAAAGTTATTTGCAGCCATTTACCTTTTACCTCTGTTTTTATAACCATTTCAAACTATTTACAGAACAATCGGGTGTTCTGCATTCAATAAGATGCCACAAATTATTTGTGCCGTTGGGGAAAAAATAATTTCTGTCCATTATAAAGGAGAACATCACAGCCTGATACCTGCAGGTCTGACAGCAGCAGGTGTATCATTCCTGTTTCTACCTGGAGACAGCAGTCAGCTCATTGTTCTAACACACAACACAAAACTATCCACAACACTACACACTAACTACACAAGACAACACATTAAATACACACTCCAAACACACATCTCAAAACTCTCTCTCTCTCTCTTTTTCTGCTCTCTCTCTCTCACACTCTCTCGCCGTCACTCCTAAAACTTCCCCCTCTTCCTAAACAACCAAATGTCATGTTGCCATATACTTTTTTGATTGGTCAACATGGTGCATTTTTCCACCAACACGAAAGGCCTGATTTTTGTTTTGTGTTTTTATTTTTTGGTCATAAGCAGTGAGATCTTGCTAGCACGGTCCTTAGACATTAAACGTAATGAAACTATTCAGGAAAAAACGCTGCGTATATATTGTTTATCATGACTCTGGTTTTACGTGGCCAATCAACACAATTTAAAAACTGGTATATATCACCTTGTTGGTTTGTCATCTTAAAGTGGTCATGCGACTGGCTTACCACGACTACTTTATTCTTCTTCCGTCAAACAGCAGCACGATTGCGATTGTTTTCCCCGATTGTTTGTTGTGCCAAAAAGCTGATCGTCTGCCAGAAATCAGTGCTTTAAGCTACTACATACCATAATAAAAGTTTGTATTAAAGAGTGACTCCTCCAATAGGTCATATTGACTTTAATAAATCCCTGTAGCATTGTAAAGCGTGAAAAAAGTAATGCACACAGTTACATATGTGACAGAGTAACTTATGTGTTTTGGCCATGATCTGATTGTAAAATCATTTTTTATTTTATTTAATTTTATTAGGCCTTATATGAATGAAGCATGCATTTCTTCTGAGCTGTCAAATGTCCTGTCAGTCAACAGGAACTCAAAGAGTCTCCAGCAATTTCCAACAGATTAAAAAATATAGATTTTTATTCAGCTGCATCTTATTCATCCCTGTCAGTGAGACGGCTTCATTTTATTACGAGTGTAACTTTGCTCCATGCTGTGCTTTTCAAAATCAAATTTATTTATTTATTTTTATTTTCTTTGTTCAGTCATTGACATGTGGTAGTTTGAACTTAGTAAATATGTACCAGAATGTTTTGATCGTAGAAGAAAAGTTTACCTGCCAGTGTTCCAGATGTTAATGTTAACATGATGAAAATGCCTGTTGACATACAGACATTAAAAACATTTAAATAACTGAATTATTTTTAAATGATCTCACTGATGTGTACATAAATGCCATCATCTTTATTTTAACTTTGTTTCTTTTTTTTAAGAAAGTTTAAGATATTTTAACTTACCAATGAAGCTCCAAATATGAGTCCCACTCATGGCTTTAGAAAATATCCGAGTCAAATGTATTATGGCATTAATTACAACACAGTAGTTACTGATACACCAACTGGCAGGTAAACTGGCTTACTACCAGTCTCATATTACTTGTTTTGATCACCAAGAATATGCAAATTTTTAGTCAGTAATGTTTGCATGAATGACAACACACCCAAACTGACATCTTCTTCTTCAGACCAAATCCTCCCATTGCATGTTTCTACGATTTAATGTTTAAATATTTTATTTTATTTGTTATATTTTTCCACTCGCCTTATTTAACATTTTAATTGCATTCATTGATCACTACTTTCAAAGACACATAAGCTAAAAATCTACTGGACCTGGCTTCTCTCCTATTGAATTATACATGCACAGGAGAGATAAGAAAGTTGATGGCCAAGGTGTGCTCATTCTCTTCCTAACCCCTCTCTTAATTATTAGAACAAAACTACCATCAGCTCAGACTACTCCTGTAATTAAAGGTTAAATTGTGGACATTCTCTTCTCAACCGTTTGTTGACATTAAAGGTAAAAACATGACGAAAAATCCATCTGACATGGTCCCAGTTTCCCCAGTAGGTACTCTTCTTTTTATCTGTGAATAAACCCTCTAATTCTTAGATGCGAGTCCCACTTCTGACTCCTGCTCACCTGCTCTAGACATGACACCATTTTAGTTTGAATAAGCCCCTAACCCAACTGGTTCCATCTAGTGATGTGCAGATTGATACTGAAATATCTATTCCTCCGATACCAGTCATTTATGTTCTAGAATCGATTCTCATATTAAAATATCAATATTTTAGTAATTTGGGGTAAATTTGTAGTTTATCATTAACAGGAACAGAGTGGAAAGAAACTATAACATTCGGATTGTCTACATTGGAAGGAAATACTTCCTCTTCCGCCTTTCATAGTCATGTGTGAAATAGGGCTGTATAAATGGAGTCATGTGCGGACGTATTTTACATCCACAAACACCAAGACACGGTTTGCGATACATGTGGCAAGACAGTGAGGTGTTGTGGCAACACCACTAACCTCGTCAAACACCTCACATTAAATCATGTAACAGAATATGATGAGCTTATGTTGAGGTGAACTGAAGAAGAGGAGAGGAGAGGGGTAGGTGCTGCTAGGGCAATACAGATGTCTCTCACAGTCTAGCAGCCAGGCAACATGCTCAAATGGCTTCAGTTTTTTTTTTTCTATATGATAATTCTGCATTATTAAGTGATAAGAACAAGTAATCTGATGTCCTGTAATCATTATGAAAATATAATTTGAGATACAATAAAAGATACAGTAAAAAAAAAAGTTTTTGTACAAAGTATATAGGATCAGTATATAAGTAGGAGAACCTTCACAGACATAGGATCAGTATTGTCGATACCACCCTGAATTTTACTTGGTATCAGATTGGAAAGGAAATCAGTGGTATCGCACATCACTAGTTCCATCTGAACTTTGTATTGCCTGCTGGGTAGCACTCATAGGATCAGAGATTAGGACTTTTTAGACAGAGAGCTGATCCAGACTTACTGTATTGGGGCCCAGTTCCCACCCCATGGACAGTACCTTCTAATGATTCAATAATGGCACACCAGATGGATTTAGAGAAACATCAAAGAAAATTATGCAATTCTGGTTTTTCTCATTCATATTCAAAACTCAAATTTAAAAAAAAAAAAATCAAAACTATTTGTTTCTGTTTAAATAAGTGATAAATATTTAGGCCAATGTTTATAAAATATATATTCTATCCATAAATGTCAGAAATTATATCTCACAGTGGGTTTTGGTTGCCATTTTGCTCAAGTGCGTTCCTGATTAGGATCTGTGACCCCAAAATAATTTCCATTAAACCATCTGGTATGTTGATGACGGTGACAACACTGACTTTATAGACAGCTAACAAGTCTGTTCTCCACCAGGGAGACAGATCTTCGGCAGTATGAGTATAGTGTCCTCTCTGTGGAGAGCCCGTAGAAAAAGCAGTTCCACAAGATTGTAGAAAGGTTTGATAAGGCACGAATCAGTATTTGGCACGTGTGCTACAGTAAATAAAAAGATCTCATGATTTTCTTCTTTACTTTCAGTATCACTTATCACTGGTGAATTTCCAGCTGAGATTCCAACAACATCGGGCCTGGTGTAGAATTCACTCTGTTCTGCATCAATTTTATTATTCCTTTATTTTGCATTTATTTAATGAGGGAGTGAACTCTTTAGATTGAGATTCTCCTTGGTAATAGTGTGCTAGGCTGACATAGGCAGCAATCAAGCATGTTTTCAGCACCAGGAGAAACTGGAACACCTGAAAGAAAACTGTGAAAGAACGGGCGAATAAAGAACATGCAAACTCCACAAAGAAGGGCTCCACCAAGGTTTACAACCCAGAAATCTCATCAGTGCTATCAACAGACATAGAAAGGATTCTTGGGGCACAGATCGTGATCGGGATCAGTGCTAGCACTACTGCTGTGATCCAGCAGTGCTATCCACTGAGCCATACTATTACTAGGATGACATTTATTCATATTATTGCTATAAAAATTACATCATTAAATACATTTTAAGATATTTTTCACATACCAGTGAAGTGCCCCATACTCATATTTGCCTCCAAACATTGCCTCCAATCATATGACCCCCACAGGTTACACAAGCTGTTTGTTCTCGTGTCTGTGCCCTTCGATGCCTTCCCCAAACCACAGCTCAGTCCATGTTTAAGCCATTTGCCTTTATCTACTAAAAAACGCTGTCAAAGCTAAAATGAGGACATGGGCCAAGCTAGTGTAATATTTATTATATTAAATTAAACAGCGATTAGTGATACACTTTAAATGACAGGCAGACTTTCTTGTTACTTCTGTAGTGTTCTTATGAGGATTACCAATCACATACTGGACTCCTTTATTTGCTTTGGTTCATGAGCACACTCACATTCATGACACATGTATGTTTATGCAGATTGCTTCCACAAACAAACAAAAAGGTTCAGATCAATAGTTTTAAAACCTTTTTACCACCAGCATACATCATATCCTGTATCTGTTGGACTCACCCAGAAGTCTATACACCTTTAGGCCTGGAAGGTTCTTTACCTTCTTACCGTCAGTCTAACACTTCTGCATTTGGAAGACTTCAATTAACTTTTTTTTTCACTGTATTGTTAGCGCTGCATACACACACACATCAATCCATTAAATCCATCTTATCAATGTTAAACAAAACACATTCACATTACAATTTGTCACAAACTAATCTTTGTCACACATAACAACAGCTCCTTAAATTTTTTCCAACCCAGGTGACCATAGAAGAGAAAACAAGAGTAAGTTCATCACTTTGGTCCATACTACAGATACTATAGTGTACTATACTATAACGTGGACCTAGTTTTTGCAGGCATTTATTGTTATATATAATGCAAAGGAATAAGCTCGCCTGCTTTTTATAAATATAATTATAATAATTCCCATGAGCAATAGTACAAACCAAACAGCAAAAATTTAGACAGAAATTATTTACACATGACTTCAACTTAATGTGTTGTCATTAGGATTGGCGATATGAAAAAGATAAACAGTGTTCTATGCAGTTACTGAATTTTTGCCAGAATTTAAAAGAGTGCAAAACAAATTCAAATATAAACTATTTCTAACAAAATAACTATGCATCACAGTTTCTACTGTGTCATCTCCTTTATGGATTTGTTGGATCCTTGGTGCTGGAGAAATGAACTCTCTGCACAGCATCGTCAGAACCTGAAAGGACATGAGTTACATTTAAATTAAGGCAATGCACAAGGGTTGTACACAAGCCAACATGTTGCAAGTAAAACCTGATTGGCAGATGAAGTTGAGGTTCTCCCCACAGGGCTGGTCCTGCCAGAGGAAGTGCTCTGTGCTGGCCACGCCTCCACAGGTGCTGGAGTAGCTGTCAGGAACAAAATCTTGTGGCCAATTTAAGAAATTCATGGAATATCCAGACATCCAGAACCACTCGTCTGCTCTGAGGGATCTTTTGGACAGAGAAAAATATATGAACAGATTTAAACTGAATGGATAAACTGCTATTGATAGAGCATAGGCAGCACTTGTTTACATTGAGTTTGACAAAAGCTACATGATTGATATTTATCTTTAAAATAACAATATATATTACTAATTTGTATGGTCAGGAAGACACTAAATACATTTTGTTATTCTGCAAGCTCAAGGCTGGCCTTTCCGGTATAACACTTCAGTCCAAACGGAGTAAAAAAAAAAGAAAATAAGAAGAATTTCACTACAAAAAAAAAAAAGTGTACAAATCAAAGTGTACAAATCAATCAATAGAAATTTCTTTCAAATTTCTTGTGGATTAAATAATGTCAATTAAGTTTCTGCCACCCCTATGTTAGAGCAGGTTTGCTGTTGTCTGGGAAAGGCAGCTGTGGAAATGAGTATACACAACAAAACAAAGCATCTGACTTATAGATTTACAGTACCATATCACACTATTAGAGCACTTTGCTCTCGCACTGCAGGCCTACTTGTTGTTCCTAGAGTATTTAAAAGTAGAATGGGAGGGAGAGCCTTCAGTTTTCAGGCCCCTCTTCTGTGGAACCAGCTTCCAGTTTGGATTCAGAAGACAGACACTATCTGTACTTTTAAGATTAGGCTTAAAACTTTCCTTTTTGCTAAAGCATATAGTTAGGGCTGGACCAGGTGATCCTGAATCCTCCCTTAGTTATGCTGCAATAGACGTAGGCTGCCGGGGATTCCCATGATGCATTGAGTTTTTCCTTTCCAGTCACCTTTCTCACTCACTATGTGTTAATAGACCTCTCTGCATTGAATCATACGTGTTATTAATCTCTGTCTCTCTTCCACAGCATGTCTTTATCCTGTCTTCCTTCTCTCACCCCAACCGGTCGCAGCAGATGGCCGCCCCTCCCTGAGCCTGGTTCTGCTGGAGGTTTCTTCCTGTTAAAAGGGAGTTTTTCCTTC